GGGAAAAGTCTTTGATTACGTGATTATGTATCTACTTCGATTATGTATTCGATTTCCCATTTTTAGAACAAATTTTTTTGGGTGCGGGAGTTTAGAATTTCTCCTGATTTTGAGATGTATTAATGCTTATGCGTTCTCTGGGTTTGGCAACAAGAAATGGAGAAGAAATAGAGGAAGAAAAGGAATTGAAGTTCAGAGAGCGGATTGAGACAAATATGTTCCTAAAAAGCTAGCTATTTTGTTCAGATATTTTGTGCATCAACGAGTGAAGTTGCCGTCCTTGTGACTATAGTTTGTTCTTTTCAGTTGATATTCCTTTGGAGATAAGCAATTTGATTAATTTGCAATGGTGGTAAGAATTTCAAATTCGAGTATTTGTATTTACATCTTAGTATTCAGATCTAAACATTTAAAAGAGGCCATAATAAATGCACTGTAGTGAATTTCGTTTTTCCAAGCTTTCTTTGAAGGTGGTGCAAATAGTTGTTCAGATGCCTTAATTCTTTTCATCTGGAATATTGAACGGACCAGGTCGAGTGATCTTCAAATCTCCATGTGACCACAACATCTTTAGTGGATTTCTCAAAGATGATGTAGTCACTCATTGTATGTTGGTCTCAAATTTATATTGAGATTCAAATGTGTCCTTAATACCCTTTTTTTTTCTTTATAAAAGACTTAGTTTCCGTTTAGATACAATCCTTTACTAAGGAAATTTCCTGCCACTTCTATTACTGGATCACCGGTACTTTCGGAAGCTGGATTTGATTTGTTAACCAAGCTTTTAACTTGTGATCCTCAGAAGATATTTTATAGTTCATATATACACTTGATTAAATAATTTGTCAAAATCCCTAATTGTGTATGTGGTAATGGTGCAATGGATTATTGCTGAAACGGCTCTCAATCATGAATGGTTTCGTGAAGTTCCTCTTCCCTATTCTAAAGAATTTATGCTTGCTTTTCCCTCTCAGCATGCGAAAGACAGGAGTGATGACCTTGTCAATGTGAAATTCTTTATCATGAATCTTTGAGACTCTTGGAAATAATTAAAAGTTTCTAATGGGATTTCAGGAATATGGTAAAGAAGGCCCAAAATATATAGCCCAATTTCTTTTTTCCATTTTCACTTTTTAGATTAAAAATTATCCCAACATAATCATTACCAATACATACACTTGACGTCGAGTCGTGCAACGCACGTCCGATACTAGTTTAAATAGAAGCAAGAAGTTGTCCAGAGTAGAGTTTAAAAATTAAAAAAAAAAAAATTGGATTTGCGTAATATTATTATATTGAAAAATGAGTGATTGAAAATAAGAGAGAGAAAAATGTATTTTAAAAATAATAGGGACCAAATAAAGGCTAAATATATTTATATAATACAATTATTTTTCATTGAATTTCTATTAAAAACGTACTAATAAGCAAAAATATCAGTATACCATAGTGTCAAAAAAATATTAAAAACTACAAATTCACTTCATGACCTATTCATTGTAAAATCCATTGTTTAAAATTTAAGTTGGTCCACTACTATATCTTATCCATTATGTTGTCTGTTCAATCCATAATGTACCAAACGTGCCTTCAAATTTAAGGCAGAAAACAAATGAAATGATCAATTATTGTGCAACAAACACGCCCAGATTATGGAGCATCACCAGTAGGCATCTGCTCATCATCCTCTTCCTGCCAATAAGTTTCCAGTATCCTCACGGCCATTTCGCACATTATACTGTTATCATGAGTCTGTAGGTTCTTAATCTTTTGAAGACCCCCAGCATCATCAATCATCTGAGCAAAGACATTCACATCTTCGGTGTTACCTCGGTTCTTCTCAGCTTCTCCAACCTTCAGAATGTTCTCAAGGCCTTCCAAGCAGTATTCGATGATATCGGTGGGACCAACTAGAAGATCGCAAAATGGCTTTATACAACCCTCGTGCACCAAGAACCTGCTACCAAGATGAAGCATTAATCCTCAACCTAAATGTACAATAAGCTATGAAAATATGACAATAGCTGTGAAGAATTT